CGCTGTACACATACAAACACGAAGTGTGTACGTATTTCTCAGAGCCGAATCTGACCCCATTTATTTAAAACATTTGAATAGAGCCTCCACATTTAAGAACCTCCACATTTAAAAAAAAATAGATTATATGTTTAGTTTATATGAAAATATGTTATTTGATGAAAAAATGAAAATTTAGTGAAAAAAACATACATATTTTTTGTGAGATCAAATATTTGTGTGATTATATGATTAAAAAAGAAAAATGTTAAGTAATTTTTTCATAATTTTATTTAACATAAAAAGACATGAATGTATTGTTGTTAAAAATCCAAATTTTTTTTAAAAATATCTAAATTAATGTTAATAATTTTTTTATTGTATGGGCCTCGGAATTCTCAGATCCCCGCTCTGGTATCTCTCTATGTATATATGCACATAAACTCGCAAGATCATAAGCACGAATCACATTTTCCATTCGTTTTCTTATCAAATAAACCCAAAAATAAGAACACCATGAATGCTTTAGCAGCAACCAACAGAAACTTCAAGCTAGCTTCTAGGCTTCTCGGTTTGGACTCAAAGCTCGAGAGAAGTCTTCTCATTCCTTTCAGAGAGATCAAGGTTCGATTTTTGTTTTCCTCTGTTTTATTCCATATCTATAACAGATCTGAGGAACCATTCCAGTTAGAGATCACTAAACCGGAGTTAACCAACTATTGCAGGTGGAATGTACCATACCGAAAGACGATGGAACTCTTGCATCATTTGTTGGATTCAGAGTCCAACACGACAATGCAAGAGGTCCCATGAAAGGTGGAATCAGATATCATCCAGAGGTAAGTTGCTTTTAACTTGTTTTTCAGTTAAACCAAGAAAATTCGAAATTTGGTATGATCTAAACCGGTTTTCGGTTATCGACAGGTCGAACCGGATGAAGTAAACGCTTTGGCTCAACTCATGACATGGAAAACAGCAGTGGCTAAAATACCTTATGGTGGAGCCAAAGGAGGGATTGGTTGTGATCCGAGCAAGCTAAGCATCTCGGAGCTCGAACGTTTGACTCGAGTTTTCACGCAGAAAATTCACGATCTCATCGGGATTCATACCGATGTTCCAGCTCCTGATATGGGAACTGGTCCTCAGGTTTCAAAACCATGTTCTTCTTCTTGTACTTTCATTGGAATTCTTATGTGTTGTTGTTGTCTGAAAAATAAATGATTGATTTTTTCAGACAATGGCTTGGATTCTTGACGAATACTCGAAATTCCACGGACATTCACCTGCGGTAGTGACCGGAAAACCCATTGTACGTGACCGTTCTAAACGCGATTTTAGGTCGCTAAAAATGAATGAGATATGATCATTGAGGGTTATGTTTTTGAGCAGGATCTTGGTGGATCTCTAGGGAGAGATGCTGCTACAGGAAGAGGAGTGTTATTTGCAACAGAAGCTTTGCTTAACGAACATGGAAAGGGCATAGCAGGACAGAGATTTATCATCCAGGTACAAAATGTTTTTTACACAAGAGAGAGATTACTTGCGTGTGAAGAAACTCACACTGTTTCTGTTTTTTTTAGGGTTTTGGAAATGTGGGTTCTTGGGCGGCGAAGTTGATAAGTGAAAAAGGTGGGAAGATTGTGGCGGTGAGTGATGTCACAGGAGCAATCAAGAACAAGAATGGAATCGATATCTTGGGTTTGCTCGAACATACCGAAGAAAACAGAGGAATCAAAGGGTTTGATGGTGCTGATTCGATCGATCCTAATTCGATTCTTGTTGAAGATTGTGATATACTTGTCCCTGCAGCTCTAGGTGGCGTCATCAACAGGTCTTCTTAGTTTCTTGTCACATAAGTTAAACATTTTCTCTTAACGTCCTTTCGAAACTCTGAGTTTGGTTTGTGTAGGGAAAATGCGAATGAGATTAAAGCAAAATTCATCATCGAAGGTGCTAATCATCCAACAGATCCTGAAGCTGACAAGGTTCGAAAATTCGATTCTTTGTTTCTTTGCCTAAAACTCAGCGAAGCAGAGACTTTACTATATATACTTCTTTGCAGATTTTGAGAAAGAAAGGTGTTGTGATCCTCCCTGATATATACGCAAACTCAGGAGGAGTCACTGTAAGTTACTTCGAGTGGGTTCAGGTATGACTCAAAACCAAGAATACAGAACCTAACCGAGTCTAAAGCCAATCAATCAAAAAAAACACTGATCCGTGTTTCGTGTGCAGAACATACAAGGATTCATGTGGGAGGAGGAAAAGGTTAACAAGGAGCTAAGAACTTACATGACTCGCGGGTTCAAAGACTTGAAAGAGATGTGTAAGACTCACTCCTGTGACCTCCGTATGGGAGCTTTCACCCTCGGTGTGAACCGCGTGGCTCAAGCTACCACCATCAGAGGCTGGGGATCATGAGATCCATTTGGAAGCTCAATAATAAGAACTCAAATGTATTGTTGATTTGCTCTGTGATTACGTTCAATTTCAGAGTAATAGAACCTGATGCTAATTGCAATGTAATCTTTCAAAATTTTCTATCAATGGAAGCTTATTAAGTAGATGCAATTTTTTTTACTCCATTAATTAAACAAAAGTTTCGAAAACTGAGAAGAATCCGGGAAAACGATAATCATTGATAAAACAAAGGGTACAAGTTGAATAAGCCTTATTCTAGAATCCTCTTCCTCGGCTTCCTCTGAAACCTCCACGACCACCTCTTGGAGGGCCTCGGCCTCCTCTGAAAGATGATCCACCTCTTGGAGGTCCTCGGCCTCCTCTGAAAGATGAGGCACCTCTTGGACCGCCTCTACCTCTGACGGATCCTCCACCTCTTGGACCGCCTGCACCCCTGCAAGAACAAAGACATAGCAGTTCATGGAATTTGCTAAGATTAACAAATCTCAAATTATACTTTCATCGGGTGGTATCTCAAAGCTCGATTTTCCACAGGGAAACTTAAGCTAATTGCTGAAGTTAATCGTGTCTGGCTTACTAATATTTTAATATGTTAACAAGCGCAACTTACTTTGGCTGAGGAAGGAACCTCGAGAGGTGCAAAAGTTTAGCCGGGTTGATGTAGAACTTATCTCCTGGTTTATACGAGGTGGCTA